TGTCGCCCAGACTGGAGTGCAGTGGCCGCTCCCGGCCACCGCAGCCTCGACCTGCTGGGCTCCGGTGATCCTTCCGCCTCAGCCTTCCGAGTAGCCGGAATTACAGGCATGCGCTACCACGCCCGGTTGATTTTTTGATTTATTGTAGAGATGAGGTCTTGCTGCCCAGGTGGGTCTCGAACCCACGGGCTCAGGCAATCCATTCACCTCAGCCTCCCAAAGGCGCGGGATTACAGGCTGAGCCACCGAGCCCGGCAGGAAACATACATTTTTTAAAAACCTGTGCTTGTATTAAGTTTGTCCTGTATGATCACCAGCAATCTCTTTATGTCCTCTGAGAAGGGACATCCAAGTGGTTTGCTAGGTTTACAATGCCCCTTCAGAGGGGACATCAAGTACAAAAGGTTAGATTTAAACTCCGCACAAAAATCTGCTCTTTTTCTAGATTCTGTACTTCAGGGAATGAAATAATCCATGACCCAGTTCCCCAGTTATCCTTGACTCCTACATCTTTCTCTCCCCACATCAATAAATCTCAAAGATCCTGGCTCTTAAATGCCCCTAAGATTCATCCATTTTCTCCATCCCCACTGCAACTGACTTTAGAGCAGGTCAGCACCCTGCTATTTTCCTGGGTCCTTTTTAACTATCTCCTGCATTTTCACTGTCTTCTTATTTCCCAGTCTCATTTCCTTCAAGTCCTTTCTTTAAACTGCAAGCAGAACAAAATTCCTAAAATTCAAATTTGATGTTACTCCCTTGCTTAAAATCTTTCATGGCTTCCACAAGATAATATCAATACTGCTAACCTGACATACGAGGTCCTTGCTTACCTTCTGATTTCATCTTATGTCTCTTCCCACCACACTCCCTAAGCGTCTCTCTTGGAATACTTGCAGCTCCCCAAAAGTGGCATCCTTCCATTACCATTATGCCTCTGCCTACTAAACCACTCTTCCTTCCCTTGTTGCCTAACTACCTATCACTTCACATCTTGATTTGGATGCGGTTTCCTACAGGAAAACATCCATAGCTCTATCTCCTCTAACGGGATAATTCCTATTTAGTGTTGTGTCACACTATTATACTCATGTATATTGGGCATGAGATGCACACTTTGAAATTTTTTTTTTAAAAAAGGTCTTATTCAGCAATTATCACAGCTTCTGGCACCTTTTTAGTGCTGAATAAATACACCAAATGACTTTATAAACCTCTAACATCCGGTCAGGCTCGGTGGCTCAGCCTGTAATCCCAGCATTTTGGGAGGCCGAAGTAAGTGGATTGCCTGAGCGCGTGGGCTCAAGACCAGCCCAAGCAACTTGGCAAGACCTCGTCTCTACAATAAAAAATTTAATTTAATTTAATTTAGCCAGGCTCAGTGGCTCAGCCTGTAATCCCGCGCCTTTGGGAGGCTGAGGTGAGTGGATTGCCTGAGCCCGCGGGTTGGAGACCCGCCTGGGCAGGCGAGACCTCATCTCTACAATAAATCAAAAAATTAGCCGGGCGTGGTAGCGCACGCCTGTAGTTCCAGCTACTTGGAAGGCTGAGGCGGAAGGATCGCCAGAGCCCAGCAGGTCAAGGCTGCGGTGGCCGAGAGCGGTCACTGCACTCCAGTCTGGGCGACAGAATGAGACTCCAACTCAAAAAAAAAAAAAAAATTTAATTTAAAAATTAGCGCCTGTAGTTACAGCTACTTGGAAGGCTGAGGCAGAAGGATTGCTGGAGCCCAGCAAATAACACTGGGGTGGCTGTGAGCATGCCACTGTACTCCAGTCTGGGTGACAGAGTGAGACTCCAACTCTAAATAAATAAATAAATAAACCTCTAACATCCACCTATTTAATCTGTGGTCTTTTTTGAGCCATAAATGTGAATCTTTCTCCCACATGACAAGACTTCAAATATTGAAAGTGTTTCTTCCCAATACTAAATACCCTCAGCTTATTTCCCTGGTCTTCAAGTGGTACAGTGTTCAGGACTGGAATTTTTCATCTAGAACAGCCATGTATCAAAATACACTGACCAGAACTGAATGAATTTCACCAGCCGGAATGTGGTCAGCAAAAGATATAGAGAGTCAATTACTGTCTTGTTCTAGGCACTTCTTTTTTTTTTGAGTTGGAGTCTCACTCTGTCACTCAGGCTGGAGTGCAGTGGCACACTCAAGGCCACCACAGCCTCGACCTGCTGGACTCAGGTGATGTTTCCGCCTCAGCCTTCCAAGTTTCCGTCTCAGCCTTCCAAGTACCTGGAACTATAGGCACACACCACCATGCCTGGCTGGTCTCTAACCCCTGGACTCAGGTAATTCTCTTGTCTCAGCCTCCCAAAGTGCTGGGATTACAGGCTTGAGCCACTGTGCCTGGCCTCAGACATTGCATTTCTAATAGCGCAGTCTAATACTGCACTATCCACTCACTGGTCAATCAATTAATTAAAAATTCACTCTGTGAATATTTTTTGAATTGTGCCAGGGTTGCAGAGTAACATATTTCTTTTTATTAAAATCTTGAATCAGAATAATCAGTGAATGAGCTGCTAAAAAGATTTTCTAGGTAATCAGTGGTTTCCTCACTTGTAATTAAGATTTTACAGAGAACTTTTAGAACACAATAGTTCACTCTCCTTTTTTAATAATTAAAACATAGGGAACAGACCTAATGTCTTTCTTGGGTACTAAGAACCTTGAGAATATCTCAACATCATGATTTAGGGTATCAATGAGCCCTGAGCAGTAATATAGAAATAGATATAAAGGCTGGGCACAGTGGTTCATGCCTGTAATCCCAGCACTTGGGGAAGCCAAGGCAGGAGGATTGCTTGAACCCAGGAGTGCAAGACCACTCTGTACAACATTGCAAGACCTTGTTTGTACAAAAAATAAAAGTATCCTGGAATGGTAGCATGCACCTGTAGTCCCAGCTACTCAGGAAGCTAAGGTGGAAGTGAGTGCAGGAAGGCAAGGCTGCCATGAGATGTAATTGTGCCACCACACTCCAGTCTGGGCAAGAGTAAGATCAGAGATAGAGATAGAGATAGAGATAGAGATAGAGACAGAGATACAGAGACAGAGATAGAGACAGAGAGAGAGACAGGGAGACAGGAAGGGAGGGAAGAAAAGAAGAAAGACAGAAAGAGAAAACACATAAGATTAAACTTCGTTTAAACCTCTGATGTCAGCATGCCTGCTTGCTTTCACTATCTATTTTTCCTAAAAGAACATTGCAAGGGAAAAAATCCTGACGAGATAATACATGTGCAAATATTTTTTTAAAAAATATGCTTTTAAGTCAAGAGTCTCACTCTGTCACCCAGGCTGGAGTGCAGTGGTACAATCACAGCTTACCACAGCCTAAACCTCCTGGGCTCAGGCGCTCCTTCCACCTCAGCTTCCCAAGTAGCTGGGACTACAGGTGTGCACCACCTTTCCTGGATAATTTTTCTGATTTTTCTTTTGTCGAGACAAGGTCTCACTATGTTGCTTAGCGTAGTCTTGAACTCCTGGGCTCGAGCAATTCCCCTGCCTTGTCTTCCCTAAGTGTTGGGATTACTGGCATAAGCCACTGTACCTGGCCTGTTTTTAAAATGACATAGCAGATAATGCTGTTTCCAAACCAGTTTACTGCTTTTTTGTGATGATGGCACTCCAGCAAACAAGGTAAATATTTCTCAGATCCACCAGACTTTCCATAAGAAAAAGCACTAGCCTACAACGTGAAACCCAAGCCAAATGGGTTTCTTATAAGAAGGGCAAGGATCCTCTGTAATATGCCCAAGGAAAGTGACTGTATGACAAGAAGGCCAAGAGACAATGAAGATTACATTGAAGCGTGAATGTCTTGAGGCCAGCTACAGATTTAAGAGAACGCTGGCCATTAAGAGATGCAAGCATTTAAACTAAAAGAAAACAAGAGAAAAGGCCAAATGATCCAGTTCTAAGCTTCATCTGTTTTTGTTGTATTATGCAGACAATAAAGTCTTAAGGTTTTTTGTAAATTAATAAATTGCTATTAAAATGCAAAGTATTATAGTAAAAAATCTTTTCCACAAAAAATAAGTTATTTAAATTGTATTTTGGGAAAATATTTCTATTTTAGAATTGAAGTCACCCTGCCATCTTTTAGTTCAATCTCCATCTACCTATCAGGAAAGTGAGGGCTTGAAAAGTTGTAAAGAATTGAGTTGAGAAATCAGGAAGCTGCCCAATATAACAAATTATCCTTACCTCACTCTCTATCCTGGATTTCAGCAGGTCAATGTCTTCAGATAGCTTATCCACCTGGGTCACCAGACCCTGGGCACTCTGCATGCTAGGCAGGAATTCACTGTACTTCTTGCTAATCATAGTACACATCTCGCCCTATAATATGAGACAGAAGTATTATTATAAAAGACAGTGAGATGAGTAGAGAATTCTATTACAAACAAACAGCCCATCTTCCACAATGTACTTTCCATGTTAAAGTCGTCTTGCCAATTACCCATCCCAATCCCTTTCCCTCCAAGCCAATGAGTTTCTTTCAAAAAAAATTTCTCCCACCCTTAAGATTACATGATGATGTTTGGAATCATTGCCTTCTTTCACAGGTTACATGATGAGACCTTAAGGATCTCATAGTATTATTAAGTTGAAAGAAAGCAATGATTCCAAACATCATCATGTAACTCGTGAATATGTATAATTATTCCTGGTCAATAAAAAAATAAAATTAAATAAAAAAAGAAGACAATGATCACCAAACCCCAACACTGTCCAAGAGTTGTACAAATGCTAGAAAAGAGAAAGGTGAAGCCGGAAGTTCTCAGATGGAACTACATCAGACAGTGGTCACCAATTTTTAAACACAAATCTAATAGAAAAGAAAATAAACAAATAAAGTCCATAATCTGTGTATCTGTATCAGTTTATTAATGTCTATCTTTTTTGCCTATTAAATTTTACAGCCTAATTTTAAAACCCTAAATTGATTTGAGTTTCATCATCTCCTTTAATTCAGACTAACTTAAACAAATTATTGAATACTTTGCATTGAATTATTCATTACTTTGGAAGATAGAAGAATTATGCTCTCCCTCACGTAAATTCCTTTTAGGTAAGAAAGACATTCACCTAAGTAACAAGAATACAGAGTTGAAACAAACATAGGAAAAAAAATGGTCAATATCACTAATCATCAGAGAAATCTTACACCAGTCAGAATGGCTATCATTAAAAAGTCGAAGAACAATAGATGTTGGCACAGATGTGGAGAAAACGGAAAGCAGGCCTGTAAACCAGTTCAACCTCTACGGAAAAAAATATGGAGATTTTTTTCAAAGAACTAAAATAGAACTACCATTTGGCCCAGCAATCCCGCTACTAGGGATCTACCCAAGGGAAAAGAAATCGTTATATAAAAAAGATACCTGTACTCATATGTTCACTGCAGCACTATTCACAACAGCAAAATCATGGAATCAAACCAAAGTGATCATCGACTGAATAAAGAAAATTTTGCACATATACACCACGGAATACTACACAGCCATAAAGGAGAATGAAATCATGTCCTTTGCAGCAACATGGATGGAGTTGGAGAGCATCAGCCTAAGTGAACTAAATCAGAAACAGAAAACCAAACACCACATTTCTCCCTGATAAGCAGGAGTTAAATGGCCACAAAGATGGAAATAGTAAGTAGACACTGTGGACATTAAAAGGGGAGAGGTGGGGAGGAGGATTAGGGTTCAGAAGTTACTTGCTGGCGGACCAGACACAGTGGCTCACGCCTGTAATCCCAGCACTTTGTGAGGCCGCAGGGGAAGACTGCTTGAGCCTAGGAGTTTGAAACCAGCCTGGGCAGCATAGTGAGACCTTATTTCTACAAAAAAAATTAGCCAGCCATGGTGGTGCATACCTGTAATCCCAACTACTCAGGAGAATGAGATGGATCACCTGAACCCATAAGATTGATGCTGCAGTGAGCTGTGAGCATGCCACTGCACTCCAGCCTAGCAATAGAGTGAGACCCCAACTCAAAAACAAACAAAAAAAACAGAAAAAAGTTACCTATTGGGTACAATGTTCACTATCTGGGGAATGGACCACCTGAAGCCCAAACCCCAACAGTACACAACATGTCCAAGTAACAAACATGCCCTTGTACCCTTCAAATCTAAAATAAATAAAAAAGATTACAGGGCTGAAATGTTACAGCAACAGTTACAAAGTCTTCCAGAAGAACAAATGAGGAAGAAATCCGCTCTCCCCAAGAGAAAATTAGAATATTTTTTATACAGGAGTCTACATTTGACATAAAACTTGAAAAATGGGTAAACATTACTAAAGGTAAAGATGGAGACATGGCAGCTTAAGCAAAATCTAGGAACTAGTCCAAAACATGGGACCCGCTTGGAGCACAAAAAGCAGTTTTCAATTAGCTGAAGATTCAACTTGGTAAAGAAAGCGAGTTACGTCACATGTAGGAGCCTTAAGGGCCATACTAGGGTAGCTTAACAGCCTATCCTCTTTCCATCACCTTAAAAACGTGGTGAAAAACCCCAAAGTCATCTTAAAGAAGAGCTGTCAGTGATATGACTACTTAAAATCTAGGAAGCCACTTTTGCAAAATCAAGAGTTGCTAGGAAGAGCTACACTGTGCCTTTGTGGTGCATTCCAAACCTGCTCCCTTAAATCCATATCATGTAGGTAACTGAAATGAAATTACGCAGGTAATTGTAAATGCAAGCAATGAAGACGTTGTCACCAAACACCAGGAGTTCGGTCAAGGTCCCGTCGCTGAGACAGATGCCAGGGAAGAGGGCTTTTATTGCATTATGGGAGCCGTCAACGGAGAAGTAGGAGCCAAACCTCAAATCCGTCCCTCCTCCCCCACTACAGGTAAGGGTTTATGCAGCCGGAAAGAAAAACAGGAGGGGCAAGGAAGACGAGCCGGTCAACAGGCAGCTGGAAAACAGGAATTAAGGAAGGACGAGGAAGGGCAGCCGGTCAACAGGCAGCAGGTGGTTTTCGCTGCACACACCTAAGTGTCTCGGTCCCAGGTCTCCAGGCGACCGGCTCCCAGGAAAACCTGGCGGGTTTCAATGGGGGCCGATCCCGGCAAGAGGACGCTATCAGTACAGAGAGAGACTGTGTGCGACTCGGCGCTTTCTAGGTTTGTGTCCATCTCAAGGCAACAAGGTCCACGTAGGGTTCACGGGCGTGTTTCTTAACACCCAGCACACCCCAAGGGCTTGGGGAAGAAGAGTTTTCTGAACATATTGAGGATCTTTTTGTAAACGTCTGGGAGAACAGCGCACTGGAGCTACTAACAGCCAACACATCGAGCGGGGAGTGGGTGCAGGAGACACTGATGGCGGGTGGGGGGTCCGGTCCTCTCCTCGGGGTGCACACGCTTGCTCCTCAGACACCCCGGTCTCCCAGCTGCACCTCTCGCTCCGCAGGTCTCCTCAGGCCTCCTCCCTCGCTCCAGCCCGCCCCTTCCCTAGCCCTA